GGGAACGGGGATGGGAACGGGGATGGGAACGGGGAACGGGGATGGGAATGGGGATGGAACCAGGAATGGGAACGGGAATGGGAACGGGGATGGGAACGGGAACGGGGATGGGAGCGGGGATGGGACCGGGGATGGGAACGGGGATGGGAACGGGGTAGGACCGGGGAGGGATCGGGGAGGGATGGGGAGATGGAGTGGGGGAGGGAGAGGGATGGGGATGGAGCAGGGTGGCACCGGGATGGGACCGGGGAGGAACCGGGATGGGATGAGGAGGGATGGGGAAATGGAGCGGAGAGGGAGCGAGGATGGACCGAGGGATGGAGCGGGGATGGAACAAGGAGGGAGGAGGGAGAGGGATGGGACCGGGGTGAGACCGAAGAGGGACGGGGAGATGGAGCGGGGAGGGACCGGGGCTGGGAACGGGGATGGGAACGGGGATGGGAACGGGATGGAGCAGGGAGGGAGCGGGGTGGGACCGGGAGGGACGGGGGAGGGATGGAGAGATGGAGCGGGGAGGAACCGGGGAGGAAACGGGGATGGGAACGGGGATGGGAACGGGGATGGGAACGGGGATGGAGAGGGGTGGGAACGGGAAGGGAGCGGGGGATGGAGCGGGGAAGAGCCGGGACGGGATGGGGATGGAGCAGGGAGGGACTGGGGTGGGATGGAAAGACAGAGCGGGGAGGGACCAGGGTGGGATGGGGATGGAGAGGGGAGGAACCGCGGGATGGATGGGGCTGGGAACGGGGAGGGACCGGGGTGGGACCGGGAGGGATGGGTGGAGAAGGGGGTGGGCCTGAGGAGGGACCCCGAGGGGGACGAGGACGGGCCGGGAGAGGGCTCGGGGACAGAGCGGCGGAGGAACCGGGAGAGGGACCGGGGAAAGAGCCAGGGAGGGACCGGGGGAGGTGCCGGGAGAAGGGACGAGGAGGGACCGGGGAAGGAACCGGGATCGGGACCGGGAATGGACCAGGGATGGGAACGGGGATAGAACGGGGAGGAAGCGGGGAGGGACCGGGGATGGGAACGGGGATGGGAACGGGGAGGGACCAGGGATGGGACCAGGGATGGGAACGGGGAAAGGACCTGGGGTGAACCGGGGAGGGACCGGGGATGGGAACGGGAAGGACCAGGGCGGGGAAACGGGATCGGGAACAGGGATGGGAACGGGGGAGAAACCGGGGATGGGAACGGGGACGGGAACTGGGGATTGGAACGGGGATGGACCGGGAAGGAACCGAGGGGAAGGTGGGGCCCGAGGCTTGCCGGGGGCTGTCCCTGTCCCCTCAATGGCAGCCTGACCCTGTCACTGCAGGTGTCACCACCGGGACACCCTCCGGAGCCTCTGCCCACCCCCAGCAATGTCCCCGGTTCAGGTGACGCCTGGGGCAGGACCCAGCAGGGTGACAGCACACCTGGGGAGCGCTGGGGACACAGGGGGACATGGGGACACGGGTATTGGAGACCTGGGGACAGGTGGCCAAGGGGCCATGGGGACAAAGGGAGGGACAAGCCTCTCCACCCCATTGTCTCCATGACCAGGAGCCCCCACGGCCCCACGTGTCACGGTGTCCCAAAGTGTCCCCAGGCCCTGCCACATCCCCCTGAGCCCAGAGGTGTCCCCATGGGGTCCAACCTGCCCCACGCCGATCTGTGTCCCCACGGTGTCCCCAGGAGCCCCAGTCCCCTCTGACCCCCTAAACCCCACAGACCCCCAAGGTCCTCAGTCCCCTGTGACACCTCCGTGCCCTATGGGCCCCTCACCCCCATGGACTCTCAGCCCCTCAAACCCCACAGCCCCCCAAGGCCGTGGGACCCCTCCAGTCCCCTGTGACCCCTCCCGCCCCCCATGGACGCTCAGCCCCCCAAGACCCTTCAGCCCCCCAAGGCCCCCAGGCCTCTTCAGCCCCGCCCAGGGCCCCATGCGGTGCTCGCCCCGCCCACCGCCCACCCCTGCCCTCACCCCATTGGCTGTTCCGACCATCACTCCACGCTCAGCCCCGCCCCTGCTCGCATCCCATTGGCTGTCCTTGCCGTCAATCAAAACCACACCCCCGCCTCCCATTGGCGGAGGCCCCCTCAGGCGTTCGCGTTGCCATGGCAACCAGCGCGGCGGGAAGGGGCGACCACGTGGGCGGGGCTACGTGTTCTGATTGGCCGAGCCCAGCCACGCGCGCGGCGCTGATTGGCCGCGCCTCAGGCCCCGCCTCCGCGAGCGAGCGGGGAGGGTCACGTGTGGGCGGCGGGGGCGGCGGGAGCGGCGGAGCGCAGCGGCCATGAAGCACTACGAGGTGAGGCGGCCGCGCGGCCCTCGGGCCGGGCCGGTAGCCGAGACCGGAGCGGCCCCGAGCACCGGCGCTGCCGGGCCCGCACGGCGCCATCTCAGCGACCTCGCGGAACCCGCGCGTTCCGCCCCGGGGCACTCGGGACGCGCTCTGCGCATGCGCGGCCGGTGTGGTGCTGTGCGCATGCGCGACAGAGCGTGTGCGCCCACGGGGCGGGGCTTCGTATAGGGGGCGTGTCCTTGGAAGGGGCGGGGCTTAACGCTGTGATGGGGCGGGGCTCCGGGAGGGGGCGGGGCTTGGGCGTCCCGGGACTCTCGGGGGTCCGGGGGGGTCCCGGGAGGTTCGGGAGGGTCCCGGGAGTGTCCCGGAGGGTCCCCGAGGCCACAACAGAGCCCTGAAAGGCCGGGGCCACCCCGGGGCCACCCCGCCCCCCTCTGTCACCCGCCGAGCTTGTCCTGTCCCTCTCATTGTCACCGTCGCTGTCACTGTCACTGTCAGTGTCCCTGTCACTGTCACCGCCCTCGGGGTGGCTCTTTGGGCACGTCCCCGGTAGCCCATGGAGCTGTCACCTCCCCCCCCCAGGGGACAGAGCCCCACCGCAGTGTCCCCAGGGGTGACAGAGCCGTCCCGGTGTCACCCCCGAGGTGACGTCACCCCGCTCCCCCCTGCGGTGACCCAGCGGTGACAGTGGCCACATGGCCAGCGCTGTCGCCACCTCGGGCCACCGAGGCTCCCGTGGGGGGCTCCGGCCTCACCTCCCGCCCGCGCCGCGTCCTGTCCTGTCCTGTCCCCTCCGTCCCCGATGGCCACTGTCCCCACCCCCCGTGCCGGGTGACTCTGTCCCTCCCGTGGCCACCCCCGGGGCCACCTCCGGGGCCACCTCCGGGGCCACCTCCAGGGCCACCAAGGAGGGGGGGGAGGTTTATATTTAGCCGCCCTCGTGGCCGATCGGGTTTCGGGCGGGCGCGGTGACATGGAGGTGGCAGTGCCACCCCGCGAGGGTGGCCCGGTGGCCCCGGCTCCCGTGCTGGGGCTGTGGCCACCGGTGGCCACCGGCAAGCGGCCCAAGAAAGCGGCCGTGCTCTTCTTCGAGGTGGAGATCCTGGATGCCCGCACGAGGGACAAGCTCTGCTTCCTCGACAAGGTGACACGGGGACATGGGGACAGCCCTGGGGGGGACATGGGGACAGCCAGGAGGGGACAGGGGGACAGCCCTGGGGGGGACATGAGGACACTGGAGGACATGGGGACATGGGGACACCCAGGAGGGGACAGGGGGACATGGGGACAGCCAGGAGGGGACACAGTGACAGCCCTGGGGGGGACATGGGGACAGCTGGGAGGGGACAGGGGGACATGGGGACAGCTACGAGGGGACATGGGGACAGACCTGGGGGGGACACAGGGATATCCCAGGAGGGGACATGGGGACAGCCCGACACGGGGACGTGGGGTGTCCCCATGGTGTCCCCACGGTGTCCCCACGGTGTCCCCACGGTGTCCCCACGGTCCCTGATGTCCCCTCGCTGTCCCCAGGTGGAGCCTCAGGCCACCGTGGCCGACATCAAGAACCTGTTCAGCAAAGCCCGTGAGTGGGGACAGGGG